GATTGATTTAACTATTTTTTTCGCTTCTTGGTAATACTTATCACCTTCCCAATTCGAGGAGTCTAATTTCAAAAATTCTGTATCGATATTAAATCTTATAAAAAAATATCCCGAACTTTGTTCAAGCATATCTGTAAAAAACTCTTGTTTCAGAAACGTCTCCACATTATCTATTTTTAAAAAATATTTTTTTGGACCAAAATCGCTTTGATCTGATGGGTAAGTAGATAAATTATTTAAAATAATTTTTGCCATTTTATTTCGGGTTTCTAACGAAACTCTATTATCAAATATTGAAAAAACAATACATTCTTGATTAAAGTACCACAAATGATTTAAAAATTTTTTTAAACACGAATCTGCAATAATTTTATCATCATTTTTATATTCATATAGAGTCCTTATTAAGTGCATATCGTTTAGTGGCGCTTTACATAATTGGTCAGCCATAGACCACGGCCTTATATAAATGTTTATAATAAATTNCACGGCCTTATATAAATTTTTATAATAAATGCACATATTCTGCATATTGCAGTCTCTTCCGACTTGGATAATTTGAATTCTTGTTGAAGTAAAAAAATTTTCAAACAATAAATGCCTTTAGCCATCTATCCNTTCAAACAATAAATGCCTTTAGCCATCCATCTTGCTTGATGATAAGCCCCAGGTTGCCTAATAATAATACTTCCTGGTGGTGATCCTCCTAGAATTATAATTACAAGCTCTAAAAACTCTTTATAGTCATTTCTAGGATGTTTTTTCAAAATCGCCTCCTGACAAAATAATAAAATGTTTTCGCGTTTAGGAGATACAATATTTTCCAAATTTTTATTTGTATTCCAAATGCTAATATTCTTAGTATTAATATTATTCCAAGTACTTTTAAATCTTTTAAATAGGACAATATCTGTNTTAAATCTTTTAAATAGGGCAATATCTGGGCCTGATGATACATGAAGTTTCGTTTCAGCAATTGCAGTTTGGAGAAGCAACTCGTAAACATGGTGGCGGCATGCAAGATATAAAATATCCCTATCTAACTTTTGTTCTAAAAGTGTACAAGCCCCGTTTATACGCCCAGTATTCGATGCTGTTGTATCGAATACAAATGCTTGAACTTTGTCCAATAAAGACCACTTTGCAAGGTTATCATATACTGCAGATGATATTTCTAGCCCTGTTCCAGATGGTATTTGAGGGACACCAAGTAACTGCTCTAAATCAGGGCTAGTTATAATTACTGGTAGACGATCTACTTTGTCTTGACCAGTCAAATCGGGTAGTAATTTAACATCCCAGTGAACTACCACAAAATTAACTTTTTTGTTAAAAAAATCAGACTTTACCTTATCTGCGCTTTCCTTCCGAAAATGTTGCCGAATATTTTTAATGGATGTTCTATTTAAAATATAATTATTTTGATCGATGGATAAACTATCAAGGCACGCAGATAGTATATGAACGGCATCACGGTCGCTAATTTTGCATTTGTCTAATGCAGCTGGCAATCAGGTGTAATTAACTGAATTGTGCCTCTATTTGTACCAGAAGGACCTGGTTGAGGTTCTTCTAAAATCAGGTTTTCATTGTTCTACTCCTCCGAACTTACTGACCTATCTGACAGTGTTTCAACTAAAACGATACCAATAAATAAAATTAAAAATCACGTGTATCTAATTTAAATATTTTAATTATGTTATATCTTAAATTACCTGAGAATAACTTTAAGGCTTCTGATTCATGTTTTCTTTTTTTATTCAATTCTTTTTCAATTTTTTTTTCTTTTCTTTTTTCTTTAGCATCAAGAACCATATCTACACCAAGCATACAACCGGGGCGTCCGGGGAGTCTCTGTGAGAGCAAAAATTTTCTATCTTCTGCAATACTTATTATATTTAGTGCATCTTGATGAGCAATATCGAAAAGATTATTTAGACTTTCTATATAATTTTTTTCTTTATTTTTTTGATGTTCGCTTCCATGGTTTTTACTTTTTTCCAGTGCCCTCCAAGCGTCATATTCCTTTTTCAACTTTTTTACACAGTGTGATTTATCTTTTGTTGGAATCCGTGCTTTTCTCCAAAAAATTAAACATTCCTCTATTACTAGTAGACAACTTTCAGACAACGTCATTTTGGCAAAACGCATGTTATAAAATAATACACGCATACAGTCACCTATGGAGGGTAATTTGCTGCCAAGAATTTGAATATTAGTTGGGCCAATTAAATAAATAAATTCTCGCGTCATTTTCAAATATCTCAAAAAAATTAATTAAGCTGAATAAATGAATAAATAAAAAACACTAAACAATACCAAAACGCATGAACCGCGGAACAAACGAGTAAAAAAAACAAGTTGTAAATAAAAGTGGCGAATGATTAGATAATAAATTGATCGTATTACTAAAGTAGCCAAACTTATCAAAATTTTCCAGTTATTGTGATCATTATCAAATAATGTAAAAGGTCTAAAGTGCAACAATGAACACAATAATCTTGCTTAGTGACAAAAAATTGGAAAATTTCAGCAATAAATAAACTAGATATTCACAACATGTTTAAATGTCAATTATGTAAAGAAATACTAGTACTTTCATTGACACCTTAGTGTGCTAATTTATAAAATGCATTTTTTTTAACTTATATTATAGAGTATATTTTATAATCTTTTTATGATTTATTTTGTATATATTATAATCAGTTGTCCCTGTAAACGTAAATACTTTTATAATTGTTTGATGTACCGAACTATTCAAATATTTTTTTGTTTTTGTCCTGGCGAGGAAAAAAATCAACCTACGAGAATTTGTAAAGATACAATTTATATAGAAAATATTAAGGTCTATAATTTTTATTCTATACAATTTTTCGTTTTGAGCTTTTGTTGTTGAGATATTAGCCGAAAACTAAAAAACCACCCTATTCAGTGAATTTTCAACCCTCATTCGGCACCCGAAGGGGGTAAGTAAATCTTACGAAACTCAACAAAAATCATTATTATCTAAAAATAAACAAAATTAGGGGGTGCCGCACAATTTATTATAAAGTTGAAAAATAAGGACCAGCCTAATATCTATATATATATATATATATATATTAGGGTGGCCCAAAAATATCAAATTTACCCTATACCCCAGGGCACCCACTATTTTTACCTTCGTTGATAGTAGTAAAGTGCCAAAAATTCAATGTCCTAGGTTGAGTAGATGGCAGTGCTCAACATCGTCAAAGTTTTAAAAATTTTGTTATTTCCTTATTTCTTAAATATTGATTTCTGTATTCTTGTTTTCTTTCAGATGCTGTTTTTGTGAAAGAAATACCAAGAAAAATGTCTTGAAAATATATAACTATCAATAGTTGTTTGTGAGGACTGTTTTTATACCAGACATTGTTTAGGACTTTTTTGTGAAAATATGGCTTTATCATCAACACGTCAAGCGGACACTATATTCTTGATAGGTATCAAAGATCTAGAACCAATATCTCAATTTAATCAACTATAAAGCAAGTCCTTCTTAGATTCCATTTTTTTCTCCAAAGGAAAAAATCGGTTCGAAATGCCAGTCACAGCACTGTAGAAGAATTAATTTTAGTGTGGCAAAAAACAGCTATCCCGATTAGACTTGTAAAACATTGTATTGATAAGCTTGAAAAATTACACTCTGAATGGCTTCTGTTAAAAAAAAATAAAGGAAGAATCTCTGATACCCAAAAGAAACGTGAAACACTATTTCAAGAGCAGCTAGATATGTTATTTGACATTGCTCACAATGATGCAATTACTATATGCAAAGTAGATGAAGACAGAGAATTTTTTATTGATCAGAGGACGGAAAGAAATAGGATTATTTCATCAGAAGACATGAAATACAACATGAAACAAGAAAGGAAATTTCAAAGAAAAATGAAAGAACAAAAGAGACTTGAAAAAGGGAATGAGCCAGGGTTCTCTTCCCTGATATCTCCAACTGTGACTATTTCAAATTCAGATGATGAATCAAGAGAAAAATCTGATTCAGCCATAGATAAATCAGAAGAGATGTATATGTATAAGCCACCATGTTATTTTAAAAGAAGGGAATCCCAAAAAGACTCACAGAATGAACCAATTGCAAAGAAATCTTTATTTTCTAAACATGTCACAAGAGCATTAGATCGCAATAAGGTTTCTGATAGGGAAGCCTTAAGATTAATGGTCCCTATTGCATCGGCATTGGGGCATGACCCTAGTTCCTTACCATTATCACGAAGTACTATTCAACGCAAAAGGAAAGAAGGAAGAAAAGCTGTGTTTGAAGAAATAAAGCAATGTGTTTCTTTTGACGATCCAGTTATTGTTCATTGGGACGGGAAGATTCTTCCTGATATTTTGGGCACTGATAAAGTAGATCGATTGCCCGTATTAGTATCTGCAGATGGTAAGGAGAAATTGCTTGGAGTGGCAAAACTTGTAAGGGGTACTGGTGCAAATGCAGCGAATGCAGTTTATAATGTACTAAGTGAATGGGGTTTGGAGAACAAAATAGTCGGCATGTGTTGTGCCACTACATCCGTTAATACAGGGTTTAAAAATGGAGCTTGTGTTATGCTGGAACATAAAATTGGAGAAGAATTATTATGGCTACCATGCAGGCACCACATTTTGGAGATTGTTCTCAGTAAGGTATTTACTCTCTGTTTCGGACCATCTAGTGGTCCTGACATTCCTTTATTCAAAAGATTCAAGGTAGCATGGCCCTTGATACACAAAGAAAACTATCAACCATTAGAAAAAGCTCCTGGCAGTGAAAATTTAAAGCTCACTGCAGTAAATGCTTTATTAGTTGTCTTAGGAAGGAATAAGCAGCCCAGAGATGATTACATGGAGTTAATAGAGATGACTCTTCTAGCTCTGGGCCATACTCCATATAAAATTCATTGGAGAGCTCCAGGTGCAGTACACCACGCTCGTTGGATGGCGAAATTGTTATACGCCATTAAAATTCACTTGTTTCGTGAGGAAGACAGTTTCAAAACCACACAAAAGGAAAAATTGCAGTTAGAACGCTTTGTGAACTTTGGAGCTCTTGTATATGTAAAATATTGGTTTGAAGCCCATATGGCTACAAATGCTGCTTGGGCAGACCTTTGTCTGTGGAAAGTCATGACCAATTATGGAATTATTGATTCTCAAATTAGTGAAGTGGTTAAAAATGCCATAAATCTCATCTTTGGTACCTCTCGGATGAGTTAGTTGGCTTAAGTTTATTCTCAGAGAAAGTTTCAAATGAGGAAAAGGTAGAAATTGTCAATAAGATGGAGTGTGAACCTACTGACCGGAAGGTAAGAGGAGATTTGTCACTTTTAACTGACCAGGCCGTTTTGGCTGATTTTGCCAATAAAAGATCATTGAAGGTGTTTGATAAATTGAAAATAAATTCAATTTTTTTGACCACACATCCAAATGAATGGAACAGCAATGAACATTACATTAGTGGTAAAAAAATCACAAAAAATATGAAAGTTGTTAATGATATAGCTGAGCGTGGTGTGAAACTTTTTAAAGAGTTTAATAAGCTTTTGACAAATGATGAAGAAGAGAAACAGTTGGTCCTGCAAGTTGTTGAGGCTAACAGAAAGTTGGTTCCGTCCAAAACGACAAAACAAGTAGCTGTTGAAAGTTTGAAGCCATCAACTTCAAAGCATTAAACCATGTTTATTGTTTATTTACCCCAACCAGTACTTTCCTATAAGATTTTTGTATTATTAATCAATATTATACAATAAAATAAACTAATTTACTACTACTCAGCTATTTGTACTTAATTTAAAACAATCCTCAAAATTTCCTATTTTTCAATTTTATATTTAATATTAAATGTCTTTGAGCACTGTCTTCCAATTGGAATATTATCTTCAAACTTTGCCAAAATACTTGTTTTATTACTAGTAAAAAAAATAGCGGGTGCCCAGATTTGTAAACTAGTTTTGAAATTTTGACTATAAAATATGGGCCACCCTAATATATATATATATATATAAACGTTGACTAGATGAATAAGGAAACACGTGCTCTCTACGCATAAATAATATTAATTTAATTTATAATTAAATAAAAATAAAATAAAATAATTAATAAAGTAATATAGTTTATTATATAAATATAAATATAAACAAAGAAACCATACATGGTCTTCGTAGAGACCCATCCGATAGTCTGGATGCTTCTCCGAAAAAACCTGGCCGTTCACCGTTGGTGGCTCTACTCCATCATTGAAAAAATAATGACAAGAAAACAACAAACGTATGCACTCTAGACGGCCAATAAAAAAAGAAGATGAAGAGCCAACACCAATCTAACGAAAAATTTAAATCGATAACGGCCAACCTTTTCGGGAGGGATAATACCCACAAAAAAATTCGATTTTAATTATATTTATTCTCTGTTTTAGCCTTATTTAGCAGACAGTGGCAAAAATAATGAGTTGTTGATACTGCTGTATCAGAAAAAGGTTCATTCATGCAATCTTTTGCACGATAAAAAATAAATAAGTAGACGTAAAAAAATTTATAAACGATCCACCTACTAATTCGTGACGTTAGTTACAAGTGCATGAATTTTAATTCTATTAATTTATTATATCTGTGATCTGTTCAATGTTCATTAAAAAGTTATTATTTTATTAGTGTTTGTGGATTATTATTTAGAGTTGTTATTTTTATATTGGTTATTATTGAATTTGTTTTTGGAAATTATAGTATTTATATTTTATACATAATATTTGTTATTACTATAGTTGTACGTTTATTCACTCAATTATTGATTATTTGAATTATTTATTGTTATTACTTATTTGAAAGAAACTATTATTATTATTGAATTTCTATAGAGTTCAATTTTAGTATAATCTCATGAAATGTATTACTTTTGTGCCAGAAAGGCTAAAAATTTATATTACTAAATTTAATTTTTTTGATATTTTGTATATTTTGCAGAGTTTATATTTTTATTATTATTGTTGAGCCAAGGGGCTAAATATATTTATTTTCTATTCACTTTGATTTATTGAAAATATTATTATTTATTATTCTAGAATTTTGAATTATTTATTTATTTAGTTAAAAGGCACACTCTTTGCATACATACATACTTACATATTTGAGCATTACTACCGAACTATACACTAACAGGTTAGTCAGCTTTGTTGAGGTACTCAAAGAAACCAGATCATCGTTTAAAGGTGTGGTGATCGGGCAAAATATTTCACCGTTAAATACTTCCGTCCTAAACACTTAATTTAGAATAATGTTTTGTCACAATAAAAAATTATTTAATTTTTTGGTAATTATTTATAATTTATGTATAAACTACTGGAAGCTGATCGTAATAGAATCTGTAACTACATCGATTACACTTTACGACAGCTTCAATGATCTTAACAACATCTGCTTCTCATCATTTCACCATTACATCCAACATGCACATATAAAGTCAACTGGTGCTACATTAAAATGCTTATGGACGATTAAACTTGGCTTTTGTCAGACACAATTAAATGGGCATGATTGTGGTGTCTTTACCTGCGAATTCTCAAGGTGATTCGCAGGCGTCTTTCCACTAAACTACACGCAACAAAATATCCCGCCAATTAGAAGACGTATCCAATGGGAAATCATCAAACTAAAACGAGGGAAATCCACCAAATGAAGGAAAGCCAAAAGATCAAAAAATAAAAAGTATTAAAAATATTAATTAAATTATTTAATTTCAATTATTTTCTTATTGTGATTAGGTCATTATTTTGTAAAAATAAAAGTAAAAAATTTTGTAATGTTTGGTTTAATTGTAATCTCTTGATCAATTGTTCTAAATAAAATATGGTCTATTATTTGAAAAGCTAGAAGTAAAATATTTTTGTAATGTTTGGATTAATTGTAATTCCCTAAATTATTGTTACTAGACCAAGAAATAAATATTTATAAACATATTTGAAAACGATTGTATTATGAATTTTGTAACAAAAAGAAAAAGAAAATATTTTAGTATATAAGACGAAATTGAATGAATTGAAGAGGAGA